TGGGCGCACACCTCTCCAGGCATCATGTTGGATGGCCACACACCTCTCCACGTCTTTGACAGGGGCTCTAACTGGTGTGAGGTACAAGGATGAGGTCTTGGAGCCCTTTGTTCGCCTTTTCCGGGCTGCAGGGGGCTCCGAGTTCATCTTACAGGACGATAACGCGAGGCCACATAGAGCTCTTCTGGTCGACGAATTTCTCGAGAGTGAGGATATTCGCCGGATGGATTGACCAGCCAGGTTTCCAGACCTCAACCCTATACAGCATGTCTGGGACGCTCTGGGGAATGCAATTGCAACTCGCAACCTCCTCCGAGAACCATGCAGGAACTGACAACAGCGTTGCTGAATGAGTGGGACCAATTGCCACAGGCACTGATAAACTGCCTTTTTTCCAGTGTGACATCACACTGCGAGGCCTGTATGGCTGTAAGAGATGACCATACCCCCTATTAACGCATTTCTTTTGTGTCTTCTGCAACCGCTGTTTCAGACCTTCAGACTCCCATGAGTGTTACAACCGAACATGTGTGTCTATTATAACTGTTGAATGTTTATTTTGTTTGTATTATATCAACCTATGTTCACACCAAATTTTATTAAAATCTGTCCAGTAGTTCTTGAGATCGTAGATCAAATATGAAAATTCTCTTAATTTCTTTCACCAGTGTACGAAACAAGAATCTAAATTTACATGATAGTTTTGACATTTCAAGTCATCAGTTAACGTTCCGTCATGTTAACACTCCTCTATTGTTGCGAGTCTTTAGCACTGGTGCTGTTTTGACAGTTTGTTTCAGATTGAAATTACGTTAGAAATCACGGAGCAGCTAATAACCTTAATATCATTCCTCAAAATCGGAAATTTTCTGACGCAAACATTCACCATGCTTATCGCTGCCTGTTTTGAAATTAACAGGGAAGAAACCTCAGTTGAAATTCAAAATCTCAAAATGTTTTAAAGAGAGATGGGTGCATTGTATGTCTTCCTAAACCATCAGAATTTTTTCTCTAAATTTCTGTTACTTTAACATTTTGTGTCTTGTGCTTCCCAACCATTTTCATTTCTTTCATTTTTAACATTAGGTTTTTGGCAACACAGCTTTCTCAACTGATCGAATCACAAAAGAATATCTACACTGCCCTCGATTGGCATCATGGTGAACCAAATGGCCAAGCATTAGAAATTTACACTGGTTAGTTACAGAAATCAAGACAGAATACGCGCAAAGTTGCTAGCATTACACAATATAGTAATGTAATTACAGGGAAAACAAATATTTGAAATTAATGATATGTTTGTTCTCAATTTCCTAAGCCGAATTAGCAGAAATTAAGGGCGTAAAAAAGCTTTCATACAGATAATCACTAATTTAGAAATTTTCCAAAACACTAGTACCATTATTTAAGTTTTCGATGACAGTCAAATACAAGGTTTAACATCTTACAAAAATAAGGTCTATAATATTTTAGAAATAAAAAATATTTTTGTATCGATACTGAAAAGAATAATGTAAATTTATTCTGGATATGTGGTCATTTTAGTATCCGTGTTAATGAAGTTTACAAAGTAACGGAGATACAGGAAGGAAAATGATAAACCTGGTCATCGCGTTTATATTCCGATTTTTACCTAACTTAGGTTACAACAAAAATAAAAAGTTACGGTATACGTCAATCATTTCATGATAATGATCAATAGTATCACGCTCAATAGTACTACGTTCAACAGTATTGCGTGCGTAAGGGTTAGTAATAGATTGAATGCACACAGCTCCGTTGATAGGTTGGAGTTGATCCGTTGATAGGTTCAGGAACGAAAATGTAAAACCTGTCATCGCGTTTATATTTCGATTTTTACCTGACTTAGGTTATGGTATACGTCAATCATTTCATGATAATGTTCAATAGTATCGCGTTCAACAGTGTTGCGTGCGTAAGGGTTCGTAATAGATTGAATGCAGACAGCTCCGTTGATAGGTTGTCAAAATTTATTTTATCAAAATAAACACTTCGGAGATCTAGAACTTTGCACATAAAACAGTCATACAACACTTCACAATATCACAAAGTACAATCAATATTTACATTTCAAACTATTAGGAACGTTAAACACAATGCAATGCAAAGCTCAACTAAAGAGCAAAGCTAAACCAGAGATAGTACTCGGAACTCACGCTGACAGTTAGCTAACAGCTAGCGACAACAACTAAGAGCAGATGCTCTCACCGGCTTTATATAGTTTTCACCCGGGCGAGATATTTCTAGTACCTTCTGCTTCTCGAAATTAGTGGAAGGCGATATGAGGATCGAATTATGGCTACAATGATCAATTACATTTATTCAATTACAACACCTATTACTGTGATACAGAAATTGCATCAAAATGTCGCCTAATCTGGCGACTTTTGGCGGTTTATCGCCAAATCTACTGACAAAATTAGTTGCCAAAACGTTGCCAGCTTGGCGATATTTCGTCAAATTACTGAGATGCCCATTTATTCATTGTTAAACAGACTTGCCCTGTATTCTTACTTTTCCGGCACTTCTTGTCTCTCGATTTTTCATGTTTCATTACGTAGAAAAATTACAACAATTTCACACATAATTGCACTAAAATCGTCTGTTTATGTACAAAATTCGTAAAAAAAACTTTGATTTTTAAACAAATTTTCAATCACAAAAGGCATTTTGATTAATATTTTCCAAGATTTAAAAAAAAAAAAAAAAAAAAAAAAAAAAGTTGCTAGTTTTGTCCTTGAATTGATTCATTTTTGCTTCTGAGAAAATTTAGTGATGAATGCTTGCAAACACAGGGGACACAGGTGGGGGAATCACAATATTTTTTTGAATATTTTTTATAAAGAAACAATTGTGACAAAAATATACAGGCGGCCATCGATTTCCGTACATTCTACTTTCGCTACTTCACACATTTTAAAAAAATTAATTAAAAAACCTTTTTTTTTTCTTGATATTGCAAAAATTGCTCGGTCCCATGCCCTTGCTCCCGCTTACGTTGATAAAAGTGGTATATCACCGGAGTTCTCGAGTTCGAGACCCAATCTCTATCGAGAAATAATCCGTGTGACCACATCAGCAATAAATGCTAATGAATATATTAATGATGCATAGTTGTATGAAGTTTAAAACGTAATGGCGCAAGCATTTTCTTTAGGCCTCCAGAAAGCAGAAAGACAAGCTGTCGAGTTGCTAACTGCGTTCATATTTTACTTTTAATTTCTTACAGTCATATAAGCAATATAGTAAAGATTAAAAATTCGCAATTTAAAGCATCACTAATCTTAAGACAATTCTCCAGGTCTCCCAAAATCTCCGCAGTATTTATACACGGAAATGAATGTTTTGTTTCTTCCTCCCAATACAGCCAACAGTGATAACCATTTTCAAACAGTGATAACTATTTTTAAACAATATTATATGTGGACAATAACGAATCAGACCATCAAGGCAACTAAGTAGAGAAGGTAGACATGGAACATTAAGAGATACATGGAACGCGATGAACAAAATTAAAGATTCCGGGCTGAAGTAAAAGCGTCAATAACGAAAGGTTCCTGGAAACAATTACGCCCACAAATGATGAGTGCTTTTATAAATTCTGAAGAAACTCCGGAAACTATAACAGATGAAATAGTTAAGCCTGATGAGTGAACTAAACTTGGACGTCAACTACGAAGATGTTAATGGGTTTATTAAATTTCACTTCTGTCAAATAAATACTTACTTGAACAACAAGAGTTAAACGAAATACACATTTAAAAAAAAAGGGGGGAAGAAGAAGCTATTGATGGGTGCTCAACTTGTAGAGACATTAGACTTTTTGGAGAGGGAGACGTGAAAAATGAACGATGCCCTCACCAGGACTCGAACCACGGAACTTTCGAATACACGTCGAGCGTGCTCACCACTACACCACGAAAGCATGCTAAGAAGGCGGGAGAAATACCTTATAAACTAACTTTTGACAAGTTTATAAAGAAGCACTTAGACGCGCCTCGTTAAATTAAGTATCCATAGTGATAAATAAATATTTAAAAATAAAACTTTTATTTATTACCCCCTCCATTTCTCTAGTTTCGCACATTCAACATTTGCATATATTTCCGGGAACCAATTATGTACGAAAGTCGTGGTCGCATGTACAAGAAATCTGTGTGAAGAATCAGGTTATATATATAGGTTAGAAAAATACGCATTTAGAATTAGATAATTCTTGAAAGCATATTATTATCAAAGCAGAATACAGTGAGTTTAGCTGAAATTAACTACTGCTAGAGCTATATTGGAACGCCGTTGAGAAATGTGCGAAATCTATAAGAAGCTTCATATCGTAGAATAGTCCACGGTTATGCTCAAAACTTGCATTGCTATCCCATTTAACTTTATTGCTAAGATTGATTCAAATTTCATTTTCCATGTCTTATCAGAAATAAACTTCAAAACAATTTAATTTTATTTTCTAAAGACTTAACTAAACTGTTAATTGTTTTCCCAAATTAAATTTGCTTTCGTTATGAGAGAAAATCGCCGAAGTCGTCGTCCACGAAGACATCACTTTTAAGAAGATAACCTTTGCGTTCTTTTTCAGGATTATACAATCTACTGCAGTTCCATCGACAGAGTAGATTCTGTAGATTTAACCAACAGTTTAGAATATCAATAAGAAATGCGCGAGGCAGGTAAGAAATTTCCATAACATTTTCTGTTCACAACGTATTCCAAAATGGTAGAAAATAAACGTCCATGAAAAGTCATCGTCGCTTTCCATCGACCGGAGAAGAGAAAGTTTCAAAACTTTTAACCCCCTCAAAGAAGAAAAACACAAAAGAAAGAGAAGATACATAAAAAATTGCTTTGGCTTCGGTTCGTCCCTCTACAACTGACCCTTTCGAAACAGAAAAGAACCTGACTCAAAAACCGGTTTCGCGCCAAAATACCGAACGACTTCTTCACTCTTGCATTCAGTTACACCGCCGCGTGCCGAAACCACAACCTGCTCTTGCGGCGAGTGGTGATAGCTGCAACTCCCTCCCAAGAGAAACTCCTCGGAGATGTGCTCGTGTTTTATTCCACTGCATCTTCCCTCCACCGGCGTGGAATTTTTTATGACGACAAAAGTGTAGGACTAATACTTCACACTGTTGGTTGAGTCGAGACAAAATGGTACATGTTCTGATGAGAATGTTTCGGTGTTTCGTTGAGTGATTGATCCAAAGAAAGGTAAGTTATTTTCTTTCTCACCGGAAAAAGTGTTCAAGGATAAAATAATAATTTCACTTGTTTACGAACAATTTTGTAAGAAAGTGGAATTCCCTGTTGTTGGGGACAGAATTTGCAATTTTATTTGTTTAAGTGCTTCAAAAAATAATGAAACTCTCCATTAAGGTTTATGTGCTGGGGTTCTATAAAACTATGAAATTCGGTGAAAGATTATACGATCAACTCCTTATCTACTGGGGATGATTAATTATTCAGAATTAAATCTGAATCATGGTTAAATAAAGTTAAGACAACAGTTAAAAAATACAGGAGAAAGAATTATTTATACTATAATTATGAGAAAGAGGCTCCCGATAAACAGAGAAAGGATTAACCGGGCCCTAAAAGCTATTTATTGAGGAAGAATGGAAAAATTATCATTACGAACTATGAATGTAAAACAAAACTGGGAAAAAAAAAAGAAAATCAAAGGAGAATGTGTAGGATAAAGAATGGTAGGGTACGAACTGCGCCAAATTTGATCGAAAATCCCCGTCCCCTCTTTTCTAATCCACGAACTGCGCGACGTTTCCTGTCCCCCATTTCTTTCCAAGAAGATTGGGTGCTAAAAAGAGTCGTTTATCGCCATTAATGAGACATTCTATTGAGACAAGCCTTTATTTTCGTTTATCAATATTGTAAAAATTGTGCATGTAAAACAAATATTAATTTAAAGTCTGGCGTGTGCTAAAAAATAAATTTCTTTTACACTCATTTTAAAGTTTTATGATGCTTAAAGGAATGATGAGCCAGATCTTTTTTATTCTCTGTAAGAATTAAAAGCTTTCCAAGTTATAGATTTTAGTCGCTGATATATATATATCTATATATCGGATTTGTTCTTCTTAGCATAATAATTTAAATTTATTTACAATTTATATGTCAGTGTTCCAAATGCATAGTAATGTTGTTATAATAGATTTCATGCTAAACTTTTTTTAAGTTTAACTAAATTTAATTTCTGCAAAAATTTACATGATTACTTTAATTAACAAAAAATATTTTTAGCACACTTTAACATGGAATAATTTTTTGCACTCTATTAAATTTTCCAGTCTAGTTCAGACATCTTGACTATTATTGATGTAATTTATTAAAAACATAATTTGTATGCCTTATAATTATTTAATTTATGATATTATTATCATAAATGAAAGATGTTTGTAATGCTAATATGTTTGTTTACCAATACCTTTTATTTTCTTTGTTAGCTCTCGCATTTATTAGTGTTATTCAAGTAATTAGCCTGCTTGTTCGATATTTTTTACTTGTTATTGTGATATGTAATTCTATTTATTTATTTTTATTTTCCTCTTGGCTACAATTGGCTTTGAAAAGTTAAATTGTAACCCTGTAGGCAACAGGGGGGAAGAAATTTTGATTGGTGCAGTTGGACTATAGCTCTACCCGGGGGGGGGATTTTCATTAGCGCAGTTGGAGTACACCCTAAAGAATAACGTGTGCCCAAAAAAAAAAAAAAAAAAAAAAAAAAAAAAAAAAAAATCGATTTTTATGCGAAGTAGAACTTATTTTCTTCTTGATGACACTGTTCAATCTCTGTAAATTATTGTTCTTTAATGCCTTCCATTATTTACAATAAATTTTTCTAGTTTTGAATACTGGTTTAATTTACGAAATCAGGCAAGAAAGCAAGCTTACACTGTAGCGTAGATTTTGGAAAAAACTTCGAACAGATTTTTTTTAATTGAAAATGTTAAGTCAAAGGAATGTTTCTTTTTTGCCTGATTTTAAATTTTGCCTTGATGTGTTCCTCTTACAGTTGGATTCAAATGAATTTAATTTCTAGATTAAACAAATTACTTAAAAATTCAGAAAAACTATTATACCTATATTTTTCTGTTAATTATAAAGTGACTTATTCCTTTTCTTGTACTTTAACTGCCCTCGAATTAACTGTGATTCTGAATTAACCGCGAATGCCGTTTCCCACATTATCACATGCAACCGGGAATTGACTGCATTTATAATTTACAGGTATTTTGAAGCAACTGAATCCGGAGAATTAATTTATTTGATTACGTAAACTAAATCACTATTCAAGTCAAAAAGAACGAACTGCAAATAGCAAAAGATTAAATATCATTTTAGAAATAAAGAAATTAAGTTACAAATGGAATTAAAAAACAATATTTATAAGAGACTGAATAATACCACTGAATTCCAACTCTCGTAAAAGGATTTAGCTAGAACTTTTTTTTTTTTTTTCTCTATTCTTTTTTAAATAATAATTTTTCAGTCGTATAGCAGTGAGTAAGTTTAGCTTCTTCTTAGTCAAGGCCCGGTTAATTCGCAATCTAGTTAAATCAGGACTTGAATGCGTAGCTTTATTGGGTTCTACTAATTATTGTACTCAAAAAATACGATTAATTAAACGACATCGCATATATTTTTGTTTGAGAATTTATTAAAGTTCTCTAATTATGACCATTGCTTAGAACCTTCCATTCATTATTTTTCAAGTGAAAATAAGCAGGTGATTGAAGTGACTATACATAAGCTTCCTCGCTAGTTGTGCTCAAATCAGTTATCACTAATTTCTTCCTAAGGGGAATTAACCAATCATCACCATAATCCATCAAAATCGCATGTAATATTTATTTTATTTTTTATTTGGTTTTTATGGTCTTCACAAAGCCTCTGATAAAAAAGGGATGTTTAGAATTAACACTTTCGTTTGTTTCCGCAAATACATTGCGAAATAAAAACTAATAAATACCGAATTTTCAAGATAAAATTTAACAGGAGCCAGGTTGCGGTACTAATTCTGGTCGGAGTTCCAAATAAGACGAGCTCCGGTAATTTATTATTTAAATTTGGCAATAATTTAATTTAATGCTTTTTAACGCTTAATATATTTTTTATTTATTTAATTATCATTTATCACTTTTCTTATTTATATCTCTTTAACCATTTTCTGATGACTTTTCATAAGGTACCAACAATTCTAAATTTTAGAAATCAAGCAACCCTGTGAATTTTGCAAATTATCAAGATTCTGGTTATCAACCCTTGATGCATCTTTAGGCTGATCATAATTCCATCAGATAAGAAAGGGACGAGGATTTTCATAAAATGCATTACATCGAGAAAACTGTTTGACTGCATAATATCGAACTTAAACAGTTCTTCAAAAGAACCCATACAAAATTGTTTACTTTAATAAGGGTTCTACGTCATCATACTCGTTCTCATCGGTAATTTTCCGACAAATTTAAATTACGAAACAGATTCTCAGATCTTTCAAAATCTACAAGCAACGGAAACCATACCTACGAGGTTATTTGCAATGCTGGCACACCAGTTTTATTTTATCGCTAAAGCATTTGAATTCACTTTTAAGATTACTATTGAAAATGTGCCTACTCCTCTTCGGCCATTTTTAGTTTCTGGTCATTATAAAGCTCAAAATGTTATGGGAAAACTAGAAGAGTACGTGGCAAGAGTGTGCTATAAGAGTGTTCTGTGCGTTAGTAGATACCAGGTCCGTTCCATTGGTCATTGGCCATTAATCATCGGCCATTGCTCAATAATTAATAAAATTTTTATTTCATATACTTACTAACTACTTACATTATCAGGTTCCGTGTTCCGCCTTACTTGCTTGGGGAACATTCAAGAACCTGACTCGGAACAGGGAGCTTACTAAAGCTATGTTCAATAAATGTGGGAAGTAGACAAGATACACAGGAAGGGTATATGAAACCCTTTATTTTTTATTCTTTACAATAATTTCCGGACTTCGGAATACAGAGACCAACCACTTGTGGTCTGAACGTAAGAATATAAAAATATTAACTAAACTCTAACTTAACTTTGGAATAATAAACAAGGGCCTACTTGGAAGATTGGCCGTATATTAACAGGAAGCCGTATGTAGTACAGAGAACTGTTAACACTACAATACGTTTAAAATTATGAAGAGGATTAAACCTCTGGCCTGGAAGGCAACCAGCAACCGAGTAAAAACTGATAAGGCAAGCGGCCTGCTTCGACTAACTCCTTCCTCTCCACTTGCTTGGCAAAAAGCCACAACTTAAGTACTTGGCGTTCGCCAGACAAATTTGCATAAATAAGTTAAAGCTTTTAATTCTGGCCGGAAGTAGAAAATAAGAAGTGATAGTAAAGATTTAAAATAAAAATAAACGTTAGTAAAACTTAAAATCCTTACAACATATGGCAAACTGTATAAAAAGTACTTACAATGAATTTAAAATATTTAGGCTTGGTGTCGCTAGAGTCCGGCCGCCCCAGATTGTGGCCGCCCTCGTACTTTTACGCTTTGCACCCCGCTAGGAACGGCCCTGGCAGATACGATGCCCAATTATTGCCAACACAGTTTCTACTTGTTCTCGATTCAGTGCATCTTCACAGGAATTATTGGTACCATCCACAGAGATTTACTTCGTGATCTTTAGGATCAGATCCACGAATTAATTACAGAAGGGAGAGGGGGCTTATAATTGGCTAATATCGTGGGCTCTTTATAGGTACATTAACACCAGAGAGACAGCCCCTGCCCTGGAGAACTTAGGTTCTCCTTTCAAGGTTGAAATGAGCTGCAACTCCAGAGCTGATCTGGTAGGGCGCCACCCCTCCCGATCGATGCAGAGGATTTCCCTCACAGTTTGGGTCGTCAGTGCCGGCTCTGGCGGGCGACCATCACGAAGAGATCCACAGGGTCAGTTCCTGCACTGACAAGCAACTCATAGTTAATGTGGAATCCAAAGTTAAAAATTCCCTTGATCAGAGCACCACTCCGTCACGAGGAACTAGCTTCAAAGTTATAGCCAAAATAGAGTTCATACGTCCCTCCACACCGACTAGGAGGAATCATATCCTCCCAGACCAGCAACTACCACCCACTATGTAGCTCCCCACAACTTTGGTCGCAGACAAGACAATACCAACAGTCCCTGTCAAGCCTGAACGACCATCGAATA